ACACACACACACACACACACACACACACACACACACACACACACACACACACTACACACACGCACGCACGCACGCACGCACGCACGCACGCACGACTCACTCACTCACTCACTCACTCACTCACGCACGCACGCACGCACGCACGCACGCACGCACGCACGCACACACACACACACACACACACGGGCGCGCGCGTAAGTAATTGGTTTTTTGATTTTTATATTAGATGTAATCTGTCTGCATGGAACATGCAGTAACAGCTTTAGACCCTACAACTAGATTAGTGCGCTGCCTCCTCAACAGACAAGTTGAGGCGAATATCGCTTTCTCGTTTGAGCTGATAAAAACACGCAATAACTGAACGTAAATCCATTATATGTGATTAATTAATGATGACTACCATTGAACAAATAGCGTCTGCGGGCTCGCAATTTCACATCTCTTCTTGTCGGAAAGATCGCATCAAGGGAAAGTGCATTGCATTCATTTGCTACCCAGGAAATCCACAAGCCGTCGTGTTGATTTAGGAAGGTGTATCAGTAGGAAACCTTCTCGTATAGAGTGCCAGGATCAACACGGGCAGCTGTGTCTACAAACATTCTCGTGCACGTCTCGACTGCTGACCCCGTATAGCAACGTCACATAGGAACAGCGTCATTCCCTCGGCATCCACACAACCGATTCCGAAGACGGTAACTCGTAAACCTAGATTTTTCGTGTAACCCTTGCATGTATTGAGGCGAACAACCAGGACAACCTCGTTCTCGTCCACGCGTTGGCTGTCGTGTCAGGCCTATGTTCGCGCGGCTAAACACCTCCGTCGTCGGCGTCGTTAGAACGTGTTGTCACGGTAACACCGCTCTCCGATGTCGTTCTGCAACGCTTCCGTGTCACTGCTGAAGATGCCGAACTCGGTGATCACGTCAGCGGTATTCATCGGTGTCAACCTGCTTTTGTTCGTAGCCATCGTAATGTTGAACCTACCCGTCATCATTGCGATTGTCATATGCAAGCGGTTGCACACGCTCTTCCACGTCAACATACTGTGCCTGTGCTCCTCTGATCTTGTCGTCGCCTCGCTGTCGGTGCCACTGAATCTCTTCGTCAACTACTTCTGCGCACCAGATCTAGAGATGTACTGCACCGCGCACAATATCTTGCTCTTCTTTACCGACATCGGCTTCGTGATGACATCATGCATTGTTGTCGCCATTGCCGTTGACCGCTGCCGTGCTGTGGTCAAGCCGCTGCGTCAGCTTGGCGGCAAGCGTTCGGTTGCAATGCGCATCAGCGTCATCATCGCTTGCGCGGTGGTATACGCGACGGCCATGTTTTTCAGCGAGCTCGAGTGGCAGAAGCATCCAGAGTACGACATCTACAAGGACATCTGCAATGTGGGGACCGTAGTCGAGCGCGGCTACGTGTTCCTAATTGATCCGATACTGTTCTACTGTGTGCCGCTGTGCATCAGCGCCTGCCTCTACGCGCGCGTCATCCTGCAGTTGTGGCGCGAGATGGAACAGATGGATGCAGCGCCCGACTCGCATGTGACGGCGGGCGCGCTGCAGCGCAAGAAGCGAGCGATGAAGATATCCGTCTGCATCGTGATCGTGTTCGCCGTGATGTGGCTGCCGTATCACTCGGCGCACATCTACTTCAATATCTACCCGGACAAGCTGACGCAGGACATCTGGTGGCTGCTGCCCGCCTGCAACGTCTCCTACCTCAATTTTAACTGGATGAACAGCATCGTCTACGTCTACTTCAGCGTCGCATTTCGCGAAGAGTTGCTATTGCGGTGGCGCTCTTGTGTCGGGTGCAAACCTGCGATAAATTGCAGCAATGGCGTCGAGAGAAATACCGCCAGCACAGTGGATACGCGGACCTCTAGTATTGCCAGCAGTGAAATCGTTGAAATCGGTTTGTGAACAAAACGGCCAGCTAACGAGTAACCGAAATGGGTCGTTTAAAAGAATAATTTAATTATTGATAGTATAATGGCAATGAGACAGCAAGCTGTAATTAACATAAAGCATGTCATTTTAATTCATATACGATGTACATACGCGTTGCGATTTGTATAACTAACATAGGAAAACCAAAGAACTAAAACCAATAATAGGAGCTTAAATTAGAATTGTCCATTCTGCAATTCTGGTAATTATTTTAATTTACCAATTTTTTTATCAATTTTATAATTTACCAATACTTTATTTTTTTAAATCAATTTATAAATGATTTTTCACTACTATTACTACTACTACTACTACTACTACTACTACTACTACTACTACTACTACTACTACTACTACTACTACTACTACTACTATACTACTACTACTACTACTACTACTACTACTACTACTACTACTACTACTACTATTCTACTACTACTACTACTACTACTACTACTACTACTACTACTACTACTACTACTACTACTATACTACTACTACTACTAATAATAATATAATAAGCGATCATAAAGTAACTGCATGCTTATTCAAATATTCTGCTATGGCGTAAAACCCGAATCTGTATATCGCTTGTTAAAATTGTCAATTTAAGAAGGCTCGCTATTCGGAAGGTCCAGCTAGAAAAGCCCATGGGCGTGGAAAATTATTGCGCAGTCGCCGTTGCTGTGCCTGTCTATTGCTTGTCCTACCGCCGTCGCACCGTTCGTAAATATAAAGCCGCGTTCACACGGAACAATTTGACCCGGGTCGAAAAAGATCCGGGCTAGATGCGTCCCGGGCCGGGCCAAGCGTTCACACGGACGTTTTCCCGCTACAAAAACGACCCGTGTCATTTCGACCCGGGTCGTTTTTGTACCCACTACCCGAGCGCTGGTTCATTTTTGCCGTGTGAACGCGCACCGACACACGACCCGGGACGCCTGTAGATCGCGCAACTGAGTTTACGTGAGGTATTGCTGTGCACTGACTGAGCTATTTGAGCTAGCAGGGGAGTTCTACTTTGTAGCTAGGCTGGCTAGTCTGGGTGTTACGGTCTGGTCTCACACGCCCTGCACATAAGGGGCTGGGCTGAAACACTACCGATCCTGATGATACGGCAGGACTAATAATAATAATAGTTGTTAGTTTACAGCAGTGACGAAGTCTTAACAGAGAGATGCTGCCGCTGACAGGAATAATTTTCCTAACGGTATGATGTCTACATGCATAAAGTGACCCTCTATATTCCTTTATACACAAAAAATGGTTGATCGCGCTCAGATGACGGTGCATTCCCAGGTCATATGTAGGTAATACTCTAGCTGTCTCTCAGAGCCGTGGAGTTGTTGTTTTAATTTGCGTAAAGTGACGGTGGACAGGAGAAAATATAACGCCTCCTCCAAACATATAACGCCTCCTCCAATCATATATAAAATCCTGACAAGAAATGAGTGCTATATGAACGATGTATCAATGCAGGGTTAAAATGCTGAACTGGCTGCGGTGTTGGTGTCAATAGAAGCGTACTTGAGACCGCATTTGAGAGAACAACATCGTGTTTATATTGGGCTCTTCATGATCAATGGGGCATGAATCATAGAGCACTGCTCAAAAACGATAAATGCTTACTATTTTGAAATTTAATAAAACTCAAATAAAAAAATGTGTGAGTTTATTTCATTGTTTATTTATTATGACGACCATCGCACGATAATAACACGAAGATGATTTTTAATTAAACACGTTTTCATCCTTTATGTGTTATCGTGCTAGGTGTAATATGCCGCACCCTTCTGTCAATTTCCTATATCGATAGCACGTAGCACGATTATCGATTAGCGCACGCGTCGGTTTACGTATATGCGCATGTTATGGTGGTATAAAAGCATAACATCGTTATCATAACTATTTTATGCTTTCATACCATCATAACATGCGCATATCCGTGCATATCTAAGCAAGGGATTTTGTTCCCGCTACCGCAGGCTCTACGGTTTAGTGGGTGCGCTAGTGGCACCCGTTTCTTATGGGGGGTAGTAACAGGTTGCGCCGACAGTCCACGATAGATAACACAGATAGAATAACACGAACACAGTATTGGTACGCTACTCGTCGTTCGTTCTATTATTTGCGTTCGCGTGTGAATGTACGCGGCGAGCGCGCGTGTGTCCGTATGATGGGCTGTGATGATGACGTGTGTGTCTGTGTATGTGTGCGCGCGTGTGTCCATGTACGCGCGCGTGTGTGTCTGTATAATGGGATGCGTGCGTGTGTGTCTGTGTGTGTGCGCGCATGTGTGTGCATGTACGCGCGCGCGTATGTGTCTGTATGATGGGCTGCGTGCGTGTGTGTCTCTGTGTGTTTGCGCGTTCGTGTGTGCATGTGTGTGCGTGCGTTCGTGTGTGCGTGCATGCACGCGCGGGCCCCTGCGCGTGTGTGCGGCTGGTGTCGCGGTAAACGCGCCCGATGCTAAACAAAAGAACTGGAACTATTAAAAAACTCGTTGAATTAAAGGAGCCGTGTCTTCGTTGGCGCTTACAACCTAGCATGCTGGTTACACGGATTCATCACGATCATTTCGGTGAATCAATCCTCGATGCTCGGTCCTCATCAAAGAACCAGGCATAATTCTAACAGCTCTTTCTGATGGAGCAGCCTTTGTCTGATTGGTAGAAATAAGATCAAAATAGGCCAAGACTTAGGATGCCCAACAGGTTTCGAAGTGGTACAATCCGGGACACATCTCCTTTATTGAAAAAATTGTATAAGGTTGAGTTGTTATGCTACGTTTGTGCTGTTCCATAGATAGTGCGTTTGTGCTGTTCCATAGATAGTGCGTTCGTTCTAGTTCACAATATCGATTCGAGCATAATCGATCGAAATATGTTCGTGTGTATTTATATCTCTCAATGGCAAGGGCACACTTATCGCCCTAAGTGAATTGCGGTATAGATCTTCGTGTTGTGGTGTAGATGCAGTTACTCTCAATTCCTCGGTATCGTTTGTCATGGGGTACAAAGTTGGCCTATTCATATACGATAGATTACTCTCGCACTACTTCCAACATGACCAACTATGCCTCAACGTGCAGAGCGCAGTTATAAGATTGTTCCACCTTCGATTGTGATTGCATTTTCGATTACGCACACGACGTTTAATCAGCGGTCGATCATAACGAATTATGTGATGATGTGCCGCTGAATTTATATAGAGAGCATTCCCGGTTAACAGTTATACTGTGATGTTTCGGTGCATTTCTATATGAAAGCATTCGCAAAGCTATATGTATCGAATATTAATCTAACATAATCAAAGTAGCCTATAATTGCGATTTAGCATGAATCAGCATATTTAAATGTATTGGTTATGCTAGACGTGCATTTCCACGTCGGCTTATTGCAATTCGTTTAGTTAACGCTTGTATATATTATATATTATTCATTATTATGCTTTCCACAATATCGTCGTTTATAACTCTTACCAGATCATTTAATTTCGCTTGGTATTTATCACATCTAACGATAACGTTTATACTACAGAATAATCGGTATTCCAGCTAAGCTATACATACGTCATTTGCAAGAAAATTCGGCGTAAAATCAGTTGAGTTATGACCGATGCAGTATTACTGTGACCATAGTATTGCCAAGATGGCCAAAGTGGGCGACGGATTAACACGATGCCAATTAGGTCTAAGGGTCTAGGTCAAGTATTCTGTTTGTCCATTCGCCCATTTGCTTGTTTACTTGTTTGCGTTAGTGTGCACTACGATGGCATGTTAGGGATCATTTTTATGTAGTTGAGAGTAATAAAAACAATGCACACGTGTGTGTGTATATATATATATATATATATATATATATATATATATATATATTTGTATTCATCTCATCCTGTGTAACAATTACTGAAAAGCTTAGCGGAGAAACGCAGATAGCCGAGTTCGTTTGGCAGTGTGCTTCGCATTTCCTGCTTTTGCCGAAACTAAACCTACGACCGCGCGTACGTGTGAGCAGCGAGGCGTGACTACGCCGCACCTTTCTCACACCGCGCATGCCAACCGTGCAACACTCGGACTTTTCCCCCATCGTCGTTTCACTGCTGTGGAGATAGTACATTGTTTCTCGACACGTAATAACATCGCTTCCATCATCACCTTTCGAGCGGCACCGCATCGCCCTTCGCTCGGCGACATTAGGGAGCGTGGTATTGTTTTTCAGAAATAGCTCCATAAATACGGGTATAGCGATGCGTCGAGCTATCGATAAATTGCAATAGCGCTTAATTGGCTCCAGCGAAATGCATAGATGGCAGGAGTCGGATATCGATAACTATCACCATTAGCTCACTGATTAATCGATAGTTTCCGATAGCTCTAACAATTGGTTCATTTACGGGTAAAGATAATGAGCCTGAAAACTATCACTGACACTTCCGCAATTGTTATTAATGATTAGACTGGTTTCCAGTCATCTGCGCATGGTCCACACAACTAGCTCACTCGCTATGCACGAGTGTGTGAGTGAAACGACAGGGTGCCAGTCTAGTAAATAATATAAGCCAAAATATACGTACATACGAACATACAAGTGTTATATAAGTGTAATACACAACTTCATGATACCTCAATGGTTTTGTAATAGTATCGCAATAGTTTTTAATCAGTGCAATAGTATCGGCAATATTACTTCAACTATCGCAACACTATCGCAATAGTATAATACTGCACCAAATACTCAACCTTACCGAATACACATGTAGTTAGTTAAATGAGTCGTAAAGCGGCAGAAAAGGCTAATATGGATAATTACGCATTTAATGAGTCCGATCTTTCAATCTTTCCTCCTGTGCCCGCTTACATGCGAAAAACCGAATCGTTTTCGACGTATAGAACGTTGTGTGTGCAGCTCTGTTTCAGGACGATGAATTCTGATATATATCTAGTAATGCGTTCATGCGCATTGCATACATGA